GTTAACCATATATTTTTGCAAGTGTACTCTTTTGTAAAATTATTCCTAATAATCGTTTAAATAATTATTGTTTGTAAATAATGACATTTTATTTTAGATTTGAGTATGTTGTGATCATATTGTGAACGATGGCAAGATTTATAAAAATTATAATTTCAAATCGTATCAAATTGTATTTTCATGGTTCAATTTGACTTTGTTCCAAGATTTTTATGGCTCAATTTAATTTCAAATTTTGTGGGTTGTAAGTAGTGATTTGGTTTTGATTTACTTCAAAACCAAATTAACCAAACCATACTCACCCCTATTAATCATGAGAAATAAATTCTAAAATATTTTATACCTTAAAAAATTTGAACATGTCCATTTAACATTAGACAATTATTTTAAAAAACTTTTGACTAAATTTTCTTTTGTAAAAGTTATGTATTACATTAGACACTTGCTCCCCTTATGCGATCCAATTTCACTAGTCATAAAGCAAGTGAATCTATTCCTTGTCTTTTATGCTTAAAGGGAAAATTACATTTTATTACTTTTATGTTTGTTTTAACTTGTTACGTTTCAAGTTCTTCTTATTTTATTTTTGAAATTAATTTATTTTTAAACTTAAACAAAAAAATAACACGTTAATAATCAAGTGATATAAAAATATTTTATTATAAATAAATTTAAATTTTAATATAATAATATTTTTTTTATATTATGTGACAGTTATTATGGTTATGTTTGGTGCAACTTAAGGTAAGAGCTGATAATCATAAAGTAGAAATCAAAAGCATCCCTTCCTCAACTTCTAAATAATTAAATTTTCTCAGCTTGTAAGCAGAAGCTGCATCAAACAGTCTATCACAAATTCCTAAATTAAAATAAATTATAATCGCCCCAATAACTCACATGAAACACCCCCTATGTTATTTTCTGTCTACTTTTAAACAGAAGATAGAGTCATGAAAAAATTAAAAAATAAAATAAAAAAAATTAAAAGCTAAAAAAAAAAGTGGAGGCAAAGTGTAAGTTACCTTATTTAAAAAGCACCAGACCAGAGATCAGGCTCTCTCATATCATATCGCATCTTCCGCTCCAATTGTCATTCAAATTTTCTTCAAACCACAAGTTGTTTCCTTTGGCCATTCCATTTGCAGGGTTGGCTTTCCTTTCCTTGATTCTTTGTTGTTTGCTCTGTTCCACCTCTGCAAAAACAAAAACAAAGAAAAAGAAAACGACATATCATATGGCTGGGAGCTTGGTTGGAGGAGCATTTCTGTCTGCAGCCCTTCAAGTGTTGTTTGATCGGTTGGCATCTCCTGACATTCTCAACATCTTTCGCCAAACGACTCACGGCGGCGGCGATAAACTCCTGAGAAAGTTGAAGCTAACATTGCTGGGAATCAATGCAGTCCTTGATGATGCTGAGAAAAAGCAGATCACTTCCCAGCCTGTCAGAGATTGGGTTGACGAGCTCAAAGATGTTGTCTTCCACGCAGATGACCTACTCGATGAGATTTCTACTCTTTCTTTGCGAAATCAGGTACAGTTACAATCCCCCACCTCAACTACTTCCACTAATTTATTGTTATTCAGTGCTGGGAATGGGATTCAGTTGAGAATTGAAGAGATAATTGATCAACTTGAATATTTTGCTAAAGAAAAAGACATTCTTGGTTTGAGAGAATGTGTTGGGCTCAATTGGGTTCACAGATTGCCATCAAGTTCTTTAGTTGATGAATCTTGTGTGTATGGAAGGGATAATGATAAGGAGGATATTATGAATTTTTTGCTTTCTGATGAGTTAACTGGTGGTTATGATCATGAGATTGTAGATGTGATTGCAATTGTTGGGATGGGTGGGGTAGGCAAGACCACCCTTGCTCAACTTTTATACAATGATTGCAGAGTGGATGAGCACTTTGATTTCAAAGCATGGGTTTGTGTTTCTGATGATTTTGATGTTTTTAGGGTTACGAAAACAATTCTTGAGGCAATTACTTCAAGTACTTGCGACACTGAGGATCTAAACCTGCTTCAAGTCAAGCTGAAGGAGAGCTTGATGGGGAAGAAGTTTCTAATCGTCTTGGACGATGTTTGGAATGAGAACCCTAGTCATTGGGATGTCTTGAGGACTCCTTTCACGGCTGGTGCATACGGAAGTAAGATTATTGCAACAACACGAAATGCTAGTGTTGCATCTATCATGCAAACTGTTCCTATTCATCATTTACGGCAATTATCTGACGAAGATTGTTGGTTGCTGTTTGCTAAAAATGCATTCCATAAGGGAGATTACAAGGCCCGTCCAAACCTTGAAAAGATAGGTAAGGAGATAGTGAAAAGGTGCAAAGGTTTGCCTTTAGCTGCCAAAACACTCGCAGGTCTATTACGCTTCAAAGATGATGTAGAGGAATGGGATGAAATATTGAAGAGTGACATATGGGATTTGCCGGAGGATAAAAACAATATTCTTCCGGCCCTAAGATTGAGCTATTATTATCTCCCTTCACATCTAAAGCAGTGCTTTGCTTATTGTTCAATATTTCCTAAAGATTATGAATTTGAAAAAGAGAATCTAATCTCACTCTGGATAGCTCAAAATTTTGTGCAGCAGCCCAAAAGTAATAAAACCCTGGAAAAGGTAGGTGCTGAGTACTTCCATGAATTGTTATCCAGGTCATTTTTTCAACAATCAAGTGCTAATAAATTCTATTTTGTAATGCATGATTTTGTCCATGACTTGGCTCAAGTCATCTCTGGACAATTTTCTTTCATGTTAGATGACAAGAAGCAACAAATGATTTCTGCAAAAGTACGTCATTTTTCATATGTTAGAAGCAAATATGATGTCTTCGAAAAATTCAAGGAAATTAATGAGGTTAAGTGTTTAAGGACTTTTTTACCATTAAAGTCGTCTAACCGTTACCTGGCCAAGAAAGTACTGGATGATATGTTACCAACACTAGGAAGCTTACGGGTGCTATCATTGTCGCATTATGACATAATGGAATTGCCAGGTTCAGTTGGCAATTTGGTACATCTTCGCTATTTGGACCTCTCTCAAACGGAAATCAAAAAGTTGCCTGAGATAGGTGTGTACCCTGTATAATTTACAAACTTTACTGCTATCAAATTGTTGGTTTCTCACTGCCTTGCCTGTAGATATTGGAAAATTAATTTGCTTGCGGTGTCTTGATATTAGTGGAACTAACTTAAGGGAGATGCCAATGCAAATGAGTCAATTAAAAAGTCTCCAACAATTAACTGCTTTTGTTGTGGGAAAGTGTAGTGGATCAGGTATTAATGAGTTGAGGCCGTTTCATCATCTTGTTGGGACACTTTCCATTTCAAGTTTGCAAAATGTAAAAAGTGGCAGGGATGCATTGGAGGCAAAGTTGGAGGAGAAAAAGTACCTTCAAAGGTTAGTGTTGCAATGGGGGAACTATACTAACGATACAGAGAATGAAAGAGATGTGCTTGACAAGCTGCAACCTCATAGAAACTTGAAGCGCCTTGTGATAAGAAACTACGGAGGAACAAGATTTCCAGATTGGTTGGGAGATCACGCATTCTCTAATATAGTGAATTTGAGCCTTGATAAATGTGATAATTGCATTTCATTGCCACCACTTGGTCAACTGCCTTCTTTGAAACACCTTAGCATTGCAAGGATGAATGGAATAACTAAGGTGGGTAAGGAATTCTATGGGAATGGTTCTTCAACCAAACCTTTTCAATCTCTCGAGACTCTTCATTTTGAAGAAATATTGGAGTGGATGGAATGGAATATTTTGGGGCCTGAAGATTTTTCGCAACTTAAAGAACTTTGTATAATCAAGTGTCCAAAGTTGGTTGGAGGCTTACCCAAACACATGCCATCTTGGGTGAGACTCGAGATTCATGAATGCTCAGCACTTACGGCTTCACTTCAAAGGACTTCGGTTGCAAATAAACTAGTATTGAATGGATGCAATGGTGTAGACTTGGGATGGCATGGTGTGTCTTCTCTTGTAAATTTGGAGATTTCAAATATGCCAAGTTTAAAGGAATTGACACCCGAGCTACACATGCTAACAAATCTGCAGAAGTTAATTATAAGAAATTGTCCAAGCCTTGTGTCATTTCCACGCATACTCAACACTTGCCTTCAGGAATTGTGTATTCAAAATTGTTCATCACTTTTGTCTTTTGCCGTTGGTGTTCTACCCATTACATTGAATTCAATTTATATTTGGGAATGTCCGAAACTAGTGTTCTCAGTATCAGAGGAGATGGAGTGCTGCAACAGCTCCCTTTCTCATTTGAGTATGCATGGCTTTTGTACTCTGTCCTTGCCGCATGGATTCTTTCCGAAACTTCGATTTCTAAGAATCGCAAATTTTAAAATCTTTTCAATTCCGAATGGCCATGGACTAAAAATTTGGACATCGCTTTTGCAAGTTGAGATTGGTGGTTGCAATAGTATGGTATCTTGTCTGCAAGAAGCATTACACGCTCCCAATCTGAAAAATTTTTGGGTCTTCAACTGCAAAAAGCTCAAGTCGCTGCCAGAAGGAATGCATACCCACCTTCCATCTCTTGAATCACTGAGAATATGGAACTGTCCAGAAATTAAGTCCTTTCCGGAAGGGGGTCTGCCTTCCAACTTACGTCGACTTGAAATCAGGGGTTGCAAGAAACTTGTGGATTGCCGGAGAGAGTGGGGTTTGCAACGACTCCCCTCTCTTACAGAGTTCGTATTTGGAGGAGGCAAATATGAAGAAGAGGATGATGATGTGCTGGAGTCCTTTCTGGAGGAAGCCCTGCTGCCCCCCACTCTTACATCGCTCTCGATCATAGGTCTACAAAATCTCAAATCAATCAACTACCAGAGCTTTCAACACCTGACTTGTCTCAAAGAGCTGCGAATCTGCCAATGCCCTCAACTCCAATCCTTGCACGAAAAGGGTTTTCTCGCCTCCCTTTCTATGCTGGAAATCTTCGCATGTCCATTACTGAAACCTCGTTGCGAGAGGGACAGAGGTGATGAATGGCACAAGATTGCTCATATCCCCTTCATAGAAATCGACTAAAGGTAAATAAGGGTGGAAATCTTTAGGAAAGGAATTCTTATTTATTTTATTTATTTTTATAATCTAAACTTAAACCACCTCTACTTCTTTTCCAGGTACTGCAAATTCTCATATTCTAGACTGAGTAAGCTTGACATCCGGAGTGGATCAAAACTTGAGGACTGGCACAGGTTTATTAGGTTACCCTCCCTTAGCATAAATATTGGCATTTTCATTATACTAATGCTCTATAAATTAATAAAATTTTCAAATTATTATTCATCAACCTGACATCTATCACATTATTGAAGTGTAAATGTTTTATGGTTTTGGCGGGTAAGGCTTAACAGGAGGACATAGGAGATGGAGCTAATTTGATAGTTTCGTTTGCTGGAGAGCTCTTTCAAAATGCGGAGGAGCTCATAAGGATGGGATTGCACTCAAGTGAGATAATCATAGGATACACGAAAGCAATTAATAAGGTTTGCCATTCTTACACTGAGTGTCCGGAATCACTGGTATTTCCTATATACAAAAAGTACAAGTAATTGTTCTATCTTATTATCTTCGACCATGCTTGTAGACTGTTGAAATCTTGGATGAATTGGTTAAAAAAGGTTCTGAAAAGGTGGACGTACGGAACAAGGATGAAGTTATTAAATGAATGAAAGCTGTTGTTGCTAGCAAGCAACTTGGGCTGGAGGATATTTTATGTCCTCTTATTGCTGAGGTGAATCTTCTCTATCTTTGCCGTTGTTTTTAGTAATAGCATTAAGTATGTTAGATTCTGACTATCAATATTTACACGTAGAATGAATTGTTACTGGCACTTTTTGTTTGATAAATTAAATCATTGTGATTTCCTCATGGGACAGAATTTAGGTGTGTTCATGGACCAAATTGGTATTGTTTCAAAGTGGGTTTAGCACCAAATCAATCCCTATAGTTCCAGAAAACTTGGAACCAAAACCAGACTGTTGAAGCTATGCAACTGACCCAGAACCAAACTGTAGAAATCAGTTTGGTTCGATTTTCGTTCTATAGTTCAAAGTTATTTTATTCCAAAAAGTCCCAAATATAAATCAATAGAAGATCAATTAATTGCAACAAAATTTAACATGAAAGTCTAAAGTGTGTAGTGTATGTATGTATAAAAATATGCAAATCTATTTGGTTAGATTAAATGTGTTTCTCAAAACGATTTGCCGGATTTGGACTCTTTGGTTCAGACTTAGAACCGTGACAATTTGAGAGTCCTGAGCTGTAGTGACCCCAAATGAACGGAACGGGAGCTCGTTCCTCCCGGGGCGTTCGGGGACGTCTACAATTTTCGACATATGATAATTCAAGCTGGAACTGAACTGGTAATTATTAAATTATACCATTCAATTTTCGGTGGTGCTACATGCATCAATTAATGTACACACTAGTATACCAACTAGTGTTATGATATTATTATTGACCACATTTATTATACAAGTTACAAATACCCAAAACCATACAAATAATGTCACATCATCTGTTAATACACTAATGTGTACATTAATTGGTACATATAGTATTATTTTTCAATTTTAGTAAGACACATTTAATAGTATAATTATTTGATTAATTAAATGTCTCATTAACAAAATCCAGGTCACTCTTATTCACTCAAGTTTTAAATTTGTAACAACTTGACAAGAGTTTTCATTGATGAAAGCAAAAGGTGTGTGGCCCGCCCAATCTTTCAAAATTCAAAAAATTAAGTCTTTAATATTATTATTGGTGATTAATTACATTTTTCATCTTTATAATTTGACTCAAATTTTATTTTAGTCCATATAGTGTATAGTTTCAAATTGGCTAGTGTGATTCCTACACTTTAAATTTGGTTTTAGTTTGGTTCTTCCATTTAATTTGGATGGAGGTAAAAGTTAGCAATTTTAGGACATTTGTTAGTTTTCTAAGGTGTACAGGTAGCAAAAATTAATGAAAATTTGGACGAAATTTAAAATGCAGGAACTAAATTGTTCAATTTGCAACTATATATATGGACCAAATGAAAATTTGAATAAAAATATAGAAATTAAAAATGTAATTAACCCTATTATTAATTTTCTGTTGTCAATACAGTCCAAATTGCTACATATTGGAGCAATCCTGGTAATTATTAAATTTTACAATTCGATTTTAGTAGGACTCATTTAATAGTATAATATTTCATTAATCTTTCATTGACAAAATCCTTGTTGCTCTTATTGATTCAAGCTTTAAATGTGTAACAACTAGAAATGATTTTTCCATTGAATGTGTGTATCCACTCATTCAAATTCAAATAATTAAATCTTTAATATTATTATTAATTTCCTTTTGTAAATAATTAATGTAGTCCAATTTCCTAAATATTAGCAATCCTGGTAATTATTAAATTTTATAATTCAATATTAGTAGGACTGGAGAGAACTTTTGGGGTGCACACCCAAATGAGCTTTGAAGATTGAACAAAGAAATGGCCCTTATAATATTGAATTGCGTGATTTTGAAAATCTCTTTAGTAGGGGAAATTTTGGTCATTTCAAAAAAATGGCATTTCTGTCATTTAAAATATAGACGATACTTAACACTTGTAAAAAAGTAGCAAAAGAAATAAACAAAAAAAAAAAGAAAAAGAAAAGAAGAAGTGATGTTTAACGTGAACTACACGCGTAATCGTCACAAGTCAATACAAAAAATCAGGCCTAATTTTTCTTAAAACAACATAATAGTTACATGCAAAGAACAAAGGTTACTTCAACATACGATCCCATACGTCATCATTATAGAAGAGTAATTGTGTATAGCGATTAAAAGTAACTAACGACAAACCCTAACTAATAATCACACATTCAACAGTTATATGCAACTACTCAAAATTAATTGTGTTACTACTACACGTGCCATGTAAATCCAAAGAAAAATAAGTGAGTGCAAGGACTACACGCGCGGAATTAAAAACTGACATGTAAGAAACATTTTTACTTTTATTTCCAAAAAATGTTTACTTACGAATAAGAAACATGTAAATATGATGCAAAAGGATGCCTATAGAAAATTTTCAAAACTCGAGCACATAGATATTAGATAGCCATTAAAATAAATAATCACAATTAATTAATCCAATTGCAATTAGTTAATCCCTATATTGTTAGTTATTTAACGACCATGTATGTCGTCAAATAATCAAAAATATTCCTAGATTAACAAATCCTAGTAAATTAACTAATTTATCAACTGGACATCAAACATTAAATTTTAAGAATTTAGTAAAACTATTTGCTGACTTCATGAGGACCAAGATGAAACGATAATTAATTGGATATGATAAATCATTAAATCTAGTTTGATCATGCATGGAATAACGACATAAAATAGACAAATGACGTTGTCAAACAATATGCAACACGAGTATGCTTGAATAAGTGAAATGTTTTTCTCCTAAATAGCCTCCACAATAATAATTTATTCTCATCGTATTTTCATAAATCCTATCTTCCTTTTTAAAAAAAAAATAACTTCAATTCAATTCATAAATGACACCATTTTTAAACAATATAGCCATTTCATTATAATTTCTTTATTAATCAACGTTGAGAGTTGAAATTCTCACATAAACTTTCCAAAAAAAAAAAAAAAATGGACATGGATGAGATCCATTAACATGATCAAGAAAGCCAGATGCTCTAAGCATATTTGTCATTTGAGATTTCCATATGAGGAAATTGTTAGATTCGAGCTTCACTGTAATGAGAGAGTTGAAATTTGAAATTAGTAAACTAAGATTTGATGGCAGGGAAGAATCAGCCATTGGAGACCTGTGGATCTTGCTCACGAGAGCTTCAATGCTCTGATACCATAATGAGTTTCTTGAAACTTATTATATTTTCATTATATCAAATCTGTTGGGTACATTGATTTATATACTGTATCTAAAGCATACAAAATATCTAACCTGAAACTAACTCTAAACAAAGTAACTAACTCATAACAAACTAATCTAACCACCACAACTAATTCCACTAGAGTTACAGATCTGTGATGGTGCAGGTCTAACAGACAAAGACAGCTGGCCATGAGCAGATGGTGATGAAATCTGAGTGCAGTGAGCAGTATATATTTGAAATATTTTAGAGTAATTTTTTACTATTTTGGGCTTTATTTGAGTCAAAAAAATTTTATTCTTCATTTTTAATAATTAAAATAAAGGCCAAACTTTCATATTTTATAAGTAGCTAATATTATTACTAAATAAAATGTCATTTTTTTTAACATACAAATCATGAAAACATAACATCATATATGTTTGGACCTTGAATGAAAAACAGGGTTGGATGCTAAGGCCAGGGCAGATAAACTATCACACCATAGGACAGGAACAGGAGAAGAAGAAACACAAAAGTCTTTAAGCAATTGTTGAATCCAAGTGAGTTCGGCTGTAGCATGAGCTAAGGCACGATACTCGGCTTCAGTGGATGATCTAGAAACAGTGGCCTGCTTTTTAGCGGACCATGAAATTAAGTTTGAACCAAGATATACACAGTAGCCTGATGTTGATCTGCGATCAAGGCTATCACTGGCCCAGTTAGAGTCAGAGAAGGAAGAAAGAGCAAAAGAACTGGGAGTGAAAAAGAGACCATGATGTAGAGTCCCTTTGACATATCGAAGGAGTCTCTTAACAGCATGAAAATGAGCATTGGTAGGGAGATGCATAAACTGACATGCTTGATTAACAGCAAAGGAGAGATCAGGTCTGGTAATAGTCAAATATTGCAGTCCACCAACCAAACTTCTATATAGTGATGGCTGAGCAAATGGCAGGGAATCGGTTGTAGAACACACAGCTTTAACTACCATAGGAGAGGAGCATGGTTTGCAGTCGGCCATTCCAGCTTTATTCAATAAGGCAGCAGCATATTTAGCTTGAGATAAAAAGGAACCATGCTCATCAGATGTAACTGAAATGCCCAGAAAATAAGACAAAGGACCAAGGTCTTTCATGGAAAATGATGTGTGCATGTGCTGAAGAAGCAGATTAATGAAAGCAGGATCATCACCAGTTAGTAAGATGTCATCAACATATACCAAGAGCAGAGTGAGGTTTGTAGAAGTTTTTCTGATAAAAAGAGAGGCATCAGACAGACTGTTGGTGAATCCTTGAGAGAGCAAGAAAGTTGAGAAGGTGGAGTACCAAGCCCGAGGGGCTTGCTTGAGACCATACAAGGCCTTCTTGAGTTTGCAAACATGTGTAGAAGATTGTTCAAACCCTGGAGGCTGCAGCATATAGACCTCCTCTTGAAGTGTACCATGAAGAAATGCATTGGAAATGTCAAGCTGTTTAATAGACCATTGAGCTTGAAGAGCAATACTCAAAAAGATGCGAATGGTGGGTTGTTTAGCCACAGGACTAAAGGTCTCATGGAAATCAATTCCTTCTGTTTGCAAAAATCCCTTGGCCACCAATCTAGCTTTATAACGAGCAATGATACCATTTGAATCTCTTTTAATGCGAAAAACCCATTTACACCCAATGGCAATTTTATGAGAAGGAAGAGGGACAAGGTCCCAAGTGCCTTGTTGTTGAAGAGCTTGATATTCTTCTTGCATGGCTTGAAACCACACAGGAGAGTGAAGAGCATCATCAACAGATGTAGGTTCAGTTTCAAGAAGAGAGCTTTTAGCAGAAAAACAGTGGGAAGACCTATGTTTAG